AGCCACCGGCGGAGCCCAGGTAGGCCGGGCGGGCGTGCCGCCAGCCCCGGGCGGGAGCCTCCCTGTAACGGAGTGGGCGGTGGCAGTTAAAGCCGATCCCAACCCTCCGCATGGCCTTTCCTGTCTGACACCGTAAATTGTGAGATACCTTCCGTAATTCCCCCTCCCGTGCCTCGTTTCTTCCCTCTTGCCTGGAAATCCGGGATCCTTCGAGGGTTTGTTCTCAGCTTGATGGCGTCCAGCCTGAATTCCAACAGGGCTGCCGGCAGGAGCAGGCTGAAGCAGGGGTGGGGGCAGGACGACTTTTTGCAGTTTCAGAAGATCTCTGGCTAAGTACCCTATATTTGAAATAGATCTCTTCCAATTAAACAAATTCTTTGTGCAGACAGGACTGCCAATACGGGAAGAAAAACTGGAACAGGAAGCGAAGCCTTTTGGCTACTTTTGTGCCCAGGCACTCTCTGTACTGCTCTGTTATTGTCAGTAGGTGTGGATGTGAGGTGCCAAAGCTTTCTACTCTTCTCTGGCATCACAGCAACACCTGACTGTTCACAAGCAACACGTGTCTTGGAGGATCGATATAGGGAAGGCAAGACAGCATTAGATCTCAGTCCTCTGGCTTGGTTTGTTGGTCATAAATTCCCTTGTGCTACCAAAAAGTGTAGGTGAGTTGCCTCAACAGAGAGGACTGGATAGGCTTGGTGGATGCCTAGCTACCTTCCATGCCAAGCAGAGGGTTCCTTGCTGGTTGATTGGTTTCCAGATTTTGTAGCTCCTCTGGTTGTTTTCTTTGAGTCGTGTTTATGGCCATAACATCAGAAGCCCAATTCTAAAATAAGCTCAGATGGGCCAACATGTGGCTGTCTTGAATTCAGACTTACTGGTGTCTGGGGCTTGAGTGCTTGGAACTGGGAAGGTCAAGAGACTTGACTAAGCAGTTGGTTGAACCCATAAACTTCTGTGCTTTTCCGGAAGGTGATCCTCTAAAAATTGCCCTAGATGCTAATTTTCTTATGCTTTATACAGCTTACTTTTTTCTGCCTGAAAAGACTTACATTAGGCTTGTTAGTGAAAGGCACTGAAAATAACCAGGTTTATTTGTGGCTGAAATAAGACGATTTTATATAGAAGCTTTTGCAGAGTTGAGAGAAGTTTGGGGCTGGCTCTGCTGGATGCAGAGGGAAGCCCTGGTGTAACCCTGGGACCTGAACCTGTGACTCAGCATCCCAGAGACTGAAAAGGAAATGCATTAAAAGTGTTCAGGTTCCAGTTTAATATTTTACATAGTACCCTTGCCTCTTTAGAGGGGATAGTGTCCACGAGAGCAAACGGGGAAAGATGCTGCTCTTGAGCAGACTGCAGTGTCCCTGCTGCCGGCCTGCATTGGCACACTTGGGAGTGGGCAGGGCATCCTCTCAGGGAGATGGCTTCACACATCCTCCCTGAAATCAGGAGTCAAAGGCAATCTGAGATAACCCTGGGAGATTCGTTACTGGGGTGTCCCGTGTGGGGCGCTCCCATCGCGAGCAGGCACGGAGCATTCCCTGGGCATCCTGCACTGCTTTTTCTCCCTAGGATACGGTCTGTCTCCCTTGGAGAGTTCCCCTCCAGACGGAGAACAGCTGATGGGAGGTCTCTGTGTGAGTGGCAGAGTAGAAAAGATGTAGTTTTCACTGACCTCACTTTGAGCAAGCAGTTTCTTTAAACAGTACTGGGTGGGCTCTGCCGTGTGCTGCCGGGGCGTCCTCTGGAGCCGCTTCTCTTGCAGGAGTTAAGCTGGATATGTGCACTGAGATGTGTCCCTGCAGTTGTGAGTTAAGCTTGTTCTGTGTGTTGCCACCAGCTACTGGTACGTGTGCTATTACCACTGTGCTCTCTGTCTCAAACTGACTAAAAGTTTGTGTCCTGTCCTGCATTAGCAGTTTGGTATGGATTTGGAAATGAAAATGCACGTAACGCATAGCTCACATGTGGCACTTGCTGGCTTATAAAATGTAATTGATACTTGAATTTATAAAAATTAATTGCAGCTATTAATATCTTTCTGAATTACAAAACTCTCTTTAAGTGTTAGTAGATGATCCAGACCCGCCTACAGCCTCCACCCTCCCTCCACACCCCCTTATGGTTGGGCACGATGATCTTGAAGGTCTTTTCCAGCCTAAGTGATTCCATGATTCTGTATGTGCTGTGCTATAATGGTACTGTGTAAATTGTGCAAGGTTGTTCAGTAAGACCCTATAATACCTACATCTTTTAAATGCCATTGAGAATGTCTCTTTTATTACATGAATTTGTTAAAGTTAGAAAAAGATACTGCTGGAAAGATGTATGCTCTTCCCTACAACTCCTTGTACATTTCACTGTTTTCCAAAAAAAAAAAAAATCACTATCTGCATTTAAACTGGTCTTACTTGTTATATTAATTTGAAATGTTTTTGTTTGCTTATAGACCAAAATAGTGGATGAAGAGAAAAACGTGAAAAAACAAGAATTTAACTTTGAAAAAGTAAGTCAGCATGACCTATTTAATCTCACTATTTTAGTGTGTAGGTATGTCTATTGATATCTTTGGGAAAGCTACAGTGGGACTGATGGGAAACAGTTCCAGAAAAGGCTCTCTCATGTAGGTGAGGATTTCCTAACAGGTAATTCTGGCTGCATGCCATGCCACAGGATAACAGGCTGGCTGTTGCCAACTGTTCTGTGTGAGGAGAGGAATGGTCCAACTCTGGCCTTTCTTTCTAATCTTTCAATGAGAATTTTGGGAGGATCATTGTATGTTAGCTGTGTCAGTAACCATAATGTTTAGCTTAATTCTTTCAGGCCCATGGTATTCACCTTGGATTTCTGATCCCATGTGGGAGGGACAAAACGTGTGTTGGCATCTAGTTTTCAAACAGCAGATGACTTTTATGTATTTGTCTTTTCTCATCTCTTCTTATACATGTGTAACTAGCACTGGCCTTAGAATCATAGAATGTTTTGGCTGGAAGGGAGTTAGATACTGATTCATTTACAGGTCTGTGCAAGTTATTTTATGTGCCTGATATCTGCTCATGGACATGCTCTGATCAAGTGAAATCTCTCACTGGAGGTTCTTTGTGGAGCTTTGTACTGCTCAGGACAGTGAGGATTTAACCACTGATTTAAAAAAGATTATGAATTCACTGCTGTTTTTGCCAGAGTACTGTACAGTGTCAACTATACATACATGTATAGTCAAACTGCTTTCACCATCTCCCCATCCTTGGTTTTCACTGGTCAAGTTCTCAGCAGCCAAGGAATGAGAACACTGTAAACATTGGGTGTTGTGGGTAGGACATTTAATTGTTCTTCATTGTGCAGCATAACATGATCTATTTTTACATAGAGAAGTCCATTTTGTGTGTTGTTTCATGTGAAATGAGGAGAATCAAAAATTGTCCCCCTGACAGTCCACACTATCCAGAGATTAGATGGACAGTGGTCAGCTGTTCTGTAGTATAGCTACAGACTCAGTTTGATTTTATAGCTGATCTGAGGTATTAGACAGGGTTTCTTTGGGAGTATGACTTTCTTGTGGTCTGTCAAGTGATATTTTACAACAGGTTGGGCAAATTATGAAATGCTGGCAGCTTCCTCTCATGTTGTAGGCTCGTCTGGAAGTGCACAAGTTTGGGATCACTGGCTACAACAAGCAGGAGCAGCGCGTATGGGAACAGGAGCGTGCTGTCATGCTGGGGGCCAAGGTAATCAGTGCTTGCTCTGTGCTGGGCAGTCACCCAGCTCTGACAGTGCAGGAAGGTGGTAAAAAATACTGTGGGGTTTTGGTACCACTTTCTTAAAACACAAGATCCTCTGCCCTGGCCCTTCTCCCACTTTTACGTTTTTTTTTTGTTGTTGTTTACATTCTCCTTACATTTTCTATTCCATCTTTTCTGTTTTCTGTAGACATTTGGAAAAAGAGTGTAGTTGTGTTACTAGAGTTGTTGTATATGTGAAATATGACTGATTGGGGTGGAAAACAACTTCTACACATTTTTAATCAGGCCATTCAAAACTAAATTGTTGGAGGGAGGGATGGACTTGCTTTTTAAAGCTTCAGTCTCCCAGTGAGTTAAAGATGGAGAAAACTTTTTAGTTTTATCATCAGTAATATAAAAGACAAAAAATATAGGTCTTTGGGGGTGGGGTATGTGTTTTCTTTCTTGCTCAGTGTGCCTGTGGGTAGGACTGATAGAGCATAAACTTTCCTCTTTACTGTCTCCACCAAGAAACAGTTTCTGTGTGTCTACCGTACATCTCTTAAGTCCCTTCCTCTCACCTGAAAGGAAATAAGCCATTTCTGATTTTTCCCCACCACCACCTGAAAAATATTGTCCTTGCAAGTGCATGAATATTTTTATGAACCTATTTGAAAATTTCACCAGTGGTCTCCCTCCCAATCTTGATTGCAGCCCCCCAAAAAGGAACATGTGAACTACAAGACTTACCAAGAGAAAATGAAAGAGAAAAAAACAGTGAAGGATGACGATAAGGGAAAGGTTAGTGTGAAAATTTCTGTATAAAAAGGCAGCATGTAAGAGCTAGCCCAAGAGCCTGACAGGTAACGCCTCGGGTGCAGGTGGAGTGCCCGAGTTTGACACCTGCTGCTCCCTGTGGAATGAGCTCCTGGCTCCAGCAGGACTAATCTTGGCAGTTAAAACTGGTTGTGCACAGTATGAAGGGCACAAGAGTTAATCATGTGTTGTGGTGGGTTTCACTGCCTCATCTTTTGAGGCGGATAGACTGATGACACAAAATTAGCATGTTGGGCTTGCTTTTTTTTTCCTTGCCTCTTAAAGGAAAAATTATTGCCTTCAATTAGAGTTTGTTGCATGTTGTCTAACCACAGAGAGCCGGATCTTCAGCTGGTTTTATATCAGCACAATTCCATCTAGGATCTTGCTCATTTAAAGTGAGGTTGAGGATTCTGTTGTTCAGATGGCACGGCCCATCTGGCTCCAAGCCTACTCCCTGCATCCCTATGGAGTCTTCTCGTGTAGGTGGGAACAGGCTGCAGGGCGGGTAATTGCTCTACCAGCCTGTTTCCTGCCACCCTCTTTCTCAGAGCTACTTCCCCTGCATCCAGGGCATGGCCAGACTCAGCTGAGCCCTGTTCTTGACAGATATGTTCAGTCAGTGTCTAGGCACACCTGCCTGGTGGCAAGTCCGCGTCTTTTGACGCAAGGATCTCTCACATGCCCAAGGAGCGAGCCTGTCCCCATGTGGCTGGATTTGTGCCTTCTCACATGGCAGGGGCAGCATGCTGGCCATGAGAAGGTTGTCCTGCCCCTCAGGTGACAGGAAGGGCTCTGGGCACTCCCAGCCCTGCCTCTGTAATGCGTTGCATCACTTGGCCTGTCAGGAGGTTTCCCAACCTGCTTTAAATGCCTGCAGCTCTGTGAAGCAAATACGACCGCAGGTTTTCTGTTCAGATGTTTTCAGCTAAGATGCTCTGCTCCTTTTCCACTAAAATACCTGTTTTTAAAAACAGGAACATAAAGGTGATTCTCTGAAGAAGAAGAAGAAAGGGCAGAAGGACAGGTGAGCCATTTTTAATGTGGTTAAAGTTAACATGCTTTGGTGTAGCCTCCCCTGTATATCTCCCTTACATAACTGCACAGTCTTGTACCAAAAGTTGTGTAGATCACAGCGGAAGGAACTCCAGCTGCAGAAGATCTCAGTCACAGAGTGGCCATGTTGCTCTGTATCTAGCAGTTTCAGAGGCTGTAGTTACACAGCTTAACTGAAGATATGTCAGTTCTGCCCTGTAGTGTCTAAGACTGCAGCTGAAGGTGAGTTGGACGGAAATCCCTGTGTGCAGACCCGGGATATGCCACTTAATCTGAGCATTTCCCTAAAACATAATTTCTGCAAAAAACACAAGCTACAGTAAACAGAGGCTTGAAAGGTGAAGTGGCATTCTTAATCCTAGTGTAGCAGTGTCACTGAAATGTACTTTTTACCATCTTTCTCTGACCAAGTCTTTGTGTTTTTAAACTTTTAAAAATGTAATTCTTCTGTAATGTGCAGCAAATTTTGAATGGTTGCACAGATAGTAAATGTTCTGGGGTTGTTACCTGCTATGATTTTTATGTTGCATAATACCAAACATTGATTGCATAAATAGGAGATATACTAAGTGTTTTCATGAGTTTCTGTTGTTTATATTTTTTTTCCCCTCATCCTATTTCAGGAAGGCCAAAAGGAAGAAATCGGTGCCTAGCATTTGGCCTGCAGGACAAGTTGGAAAATTCAGAGATGGGACCTTGATTTTGCAGAGCTATGATATAAAGAGAATTAAATCATCTAAAGTTATCAAATGAACTTGTGATACAGAGTGAAGGAAACAATATGCACAAGACAGAATTCACGTTGCTGCCAACACAGACTTACAGAGCCTCTCACCTTCCCACCATATCTGAATTTTTTGTTTATCTTATTTGTTGGTTGCAGGATATTCTGTATTCCATTCTGCCTTGGGAAGAGTGTGAGAACTTACCATTTTAAAATAAAAGTAAGACTTTTTATTAAGGATGTTATGCAGGCTAGTTTTATTTGTCAATACAGGCTAAAGGAAGCCTCTCACTTTCTAGAATCAGCTTACTGTCTGATCAGTATAATGCTTATATAAGTATATATAATTTATAAGTAA